GGAGAAAGATGAGGCTTTCTGCTCCCATAAAGATTTACAGCCTCAGAAACCCTATACAGGGTTGCTACGAGTCAGAACTGATTCCACGGCACACAGCCACCACCAACTACATAAAACAAGTTTTGAAAACCAGCGAGTGGCCTCCTGTTCAACAGAAAGAGGAATGCTGAAGCAGAAACTCCATGGTTTCCCTTTAGACAAGTGTTGAGAACTGGCCTCAACAAGGGGGTTCAGTTCACGAAGGAGGGAGATCTGGCGGCAATAGAGATAAAGAAAAAGTACACACAAACATGCAAAGAGAAAGACAAGAAGACACTCTGAGACCAGAGTGGATGCACACTGGCAGGCAGATCCTGGACTACGGGCATCGTGGCCCCTGCAGGCAATAAAGCACCGCCCTGCAAACCTTAACGCATGCCTTGGCCAGCTGTAACGCCTCGCATGCCAGCCATAACGCATTGCAGGCTTCTGTCTGCACCCCCGTTTTATTTCGGGGAGGAGCTTTACACAAAGGAAGGCGGGGTTTATTAAGACAGGGTACAGAAGTGAAATGTGATTAATCATTCAACACAGGACGCAATGATTTACAGGAATCAAATTCTAAAACATACATCACAAATTGTCTTGATAATCTAACATCCTTAATTTTCCAGAACTTCAAGCAAATAGTTATATGATACTTTTCAGGTTCGAATCCCAGGGCAGCAACTTGGTTTCTCGAGGCTAATTAACATATCTATAGCACCTAATCTTGAATGGGAAAAGGTGAAAAGGATTGAAAGGAGTCCCGCTGTGTCAGCTGCCTGGCCGAGATTTGCAGGAGGAAGCAAGATGCCTAGTTTAGTGGTTTACACCTGGGGGCTATCCGGGAAGGCTGACACTATTGTTCTTTAAATAAAACCCCGGAATACACCAATCTACTGAGTTAATTCCTTGGGAGAAACTTGCTTTTGGAACCTTTTACAACCTCGGCTTTAGGAACAGTTTAATATTTGTCCATGGGTATCAAGGGCTCATGTATTAAGTTAATATCAAACATAACTGAATAATTTGATAAAGAACAGTTTAGACGAGCTTGCCCAGTGGCCAGAGTTTGTTCCTCAGAACCTTAAGCACTGCCAACACAGTGGAGACATTAAGAAGGGCACATAAGAAATCATTTTCTCAGAGGCTACAGGTACAGGAGTTCGAAGCATAGCATGAATTAATAGGACTAAAGAGAATTATACAGAGCTAGCCCAACAGTGTTCTGGTAGCGTAGTGGTTACGAATCGGGCTGCGAACCTTAAGGTCAGCGGTTCGAAACTACCAGCCGCTCCGCGGGAGAAAGATGAGGCTTTCTACTCCCGTAAAGATTTACACCCTCGGAAACCCTGTACAGGGTCGCTATGGGTCGGAACCGACTCGACGGCACTTAACAACAACAACAACAACAGCCCAACAGTTAGTTCGCAAAAGCCAATGAACCCGGGACGTCCGGAGGTTACTTCCTTGAGCCCTCAGGGTCTCTGGCCAGCAAGTCTGAGCACAGCCACGTGCTGGATTTTCATCCATGACACTGGTCCTCAACACCTGCAGTCTGCAACAGACAAGGACCCACAATCATACACACTCAAGGACTCACTGCCAGAAAAGATTACTGTTTATTTGCATATTTTGTACAAAAGTAGAAAAGTAAACAATTCTTACAGATCAGTGTCAGGACTAAAGCCCCATAAATAGAGGGGAAAAGTAATAAGTTAAGGATTGAGGTGACTTGGTTCATAAATAAAGTCTGGGGTCTCAGTTGGACTAGAGGTAGGTCTGCTTCTCATGCGCAATGGTCTCCACTGGCGACGCATTTCAGGTCCCGTATGAGGAGGCGGAAGAGGTTGAATGTGACAGAGGCCTCAAGGCAGCTCTGGGACTCCTGTGGAAGAGACAAATAGGTGGTCCTCCGCTGCCTCCTCCCTTGGACAGGGCTCTGGCATCCACCCCTCTCTGTCACTCACCTTCCTCGGGGCCTCCTGGAGCCGGTGCAGCCAGCGGTGGAGGCGGCCCTGGGGTCTGGGGCCTGCTGTGGGCTGAGCAGGAACCTGTGGGCAGAGAGAGGTTTGTGTGAGGCAGCGCCTGGCAGAGGGTTGGGTCCCACAGGACCAGAGCCCACAGAAGGGTCTTGAGTGCCCCGAAGACTCACACAGGCCCGGAGCTCAGAATGGATGTGATGCAGTGTGTGAAGGGGCTGGTCCAGGATGGGCCCCAGGGCTGAGTTGTCCACATTCCCCAGGACCTTCAGTGTCAGGGCCAGCTCAGCCTCCAAGGCCACAGGGCGCTCCCATACCTGAGGAGAGAAGACAGAAGACAGGTGAGCACTGGACTTGAAAGAACAGTTAAGGCGGGCAGGTGAGTGGAGATACAGAAAGGAACAGGTGAAGGTAAAGGGGACAGGTGAATGGGGCTAGAGAGAGGAACAGGTAAGAGGGACAGGTGAATGGAGATAGAAAAAGGAACAGGTGAGGGGTACAGATAAAGGAAACAGGTAAATGGGGATAGAGACAGGAACAGGTGAGAGGGACAGGTAAGGGGGACAGGTGAATGGGGATATTGAAAGGAACAGTTGAGAGGGCACAGCTAATGTGTTCAGATGAGGGAAACAACCAAGGGAGGCCTGGGACACAGGGAAGAAGAGGGACCAGTGAGAAGGAGCAGTGAAGAGGCCACTGAAGGTGAGGACAGGGCAGCTCCTGACTCTCCCAGCTCACCTGCAGCTGCCTCAGGTCCCAGGTCCTGGGGAAGAGATGGGAGCTGCAGCTCCACTTCTTCAGCAAGAGCGACTCTTCCTAGAAAGCAAAGGCAGAGGTTAGACCACAGTAGGAGGGATGCAGGCTAGACCTCTGACAGAATTGGAGAATGGCTAACAACAGGAGGAGGGAAGGTTGTCTCACAAAGAATGGTAGAGACCCCTCCCGGGCAGGAGGACATGGGTTAGCTCACTGCAGCAAAAGCAGATCACCCAGGGAAGGGAGGGTGGAGGCTAGCCCAGGGAAGGGAGGGTGGAGGCTAGCCCAGGGAAGAGAGGGTGGAGGTGCAGCAGGGTTAACCCACAGAGGGACGGCCTTGAAGGCTAGCCCACAGCAAGCAGGACAGAGAGGAGACTCACAAGGGCATCTTTGGCCCTCTTGAAGGCACGCAGCTCCTGAGGGGACAGAGACTTGAACTTGGCCATGTTGCAGCCCCTTGTATCCAGGAGGGCTCTGCTGGGGGTGGGGGTGGGAGCTGCTCCTGTCATGGTCAGCAAAGTGGCCATCAGCATCAGCAGGCAGCCCACGGCCATGTCTGTGTGGTGGAGGGATGGAGAGATGAGGAGGTGGGGAGACCAGGTGCTGAGCATGGGTGTGGGGGTGGGAAGGGGGGGTCGGGTGCGTGGTGATGGTGGAACGGGACAGGTGAGGGTCATGGGCATTGACTGAGGATGGGGGAGGAGGGGCTCACCCAGCTTCATTCCTGGTCTGTCAGGAGGATGAGCCAGTTGTTGCTCTGCAGCTTGGTTATCTGAGTGTGTCTGTCACTCTGTCTTGTTCCAGGTCTCTGACTGCCGTTTCCTCCTCTGGGTCTCAGCCCGCGTCTTTGTCTCTGGCTGTGTCTGTGAGTGTCCACGTCCGTCTTGGAGACAAGTACTGCCTGTGCTCCATGGTGCAGCTTTTAGCCTGAGCAGACGGGCAATCCCGTCTTATGTAGGAAAAGTGAAACGGCTGGAGGGTGACACCTACCACCGGGGGAAACCCCAGCCCGGGACACCCAGGGTGGGGCGGGCCCAGGTGAGGTAGGAGACTCTGGAGCGAAAGAGAAACTGACTGAGACTCCACTTTCGTTCCAAGAAGGTGAGATTATGAGTACATGGGGCTGCTTCAATCTGTCCAGGAGGAGTGAACCAGAGGTGCCTGGATGGGACCTGACAGGGGATGAGGCAGGAAGGACGGGGTGGGGGTGGGGGGTGTTTATTTTCCTGTAAGCCACCTGGAGTCCTGATGTGGCATTGTAGGGTAAAGATTGGACCACACTTTCGGTTTATACCACAAGATGGGTGTTTCAAACCTTATGCAGGGTCTCTATGAGTTGGCACTGATTCAATGGCACTTCACAACAACGGGTCACCTGGAAGTGCTGAGGGAAGGTGAGGAAACACCCAGGAAGTATCATCTTCAAGGGGCTGCATGCTTTTGGAGAGAAACTGCTTCAAAGGAAGGTCTGTAGAGGTGACCCAGGGAGAGGAACAGTGTGGGGTGGGAAGCGAGAGGCAGTCAGAAAGACCAAGATATCCAAGTATAAAGAAAGGAGCCGCCAACTCCTGTCCTCATCTGACACCATTAGTGGAAGGGGAGCCAATGTCTGCTAAGAAATTCAGGTACAGAGGAATTCATCCAAGGAACCCAATTAGGAGAGACTAGGTTTCCTTCCTCGCTTCCTTTTTTTCTTTCTTCCTTCCATCTCTCTCTCCCTTCCTTCTTTCATTTATTCATTCATCCACTCATTCAATCAATAACTCAACAAGTATTTATTGAGCAGCTATTAAGGGATGGGCACTGTTCTGAGGATCTAACAGTGAACAACTGATAAAAGTCCCTGGTGATGCTGTAGGATAGCACTGGACTGTTCACCGAAAGACTGGCAGTTCAAGTCCACCAGCTGTTCCCCAGAAACCCTATAGAGGGTTGCTATGAGTCAGAAATGACTTGATGGTACCATGGAGCTGACATTCTTGTGGGAAAACCAGACAACAGCAAAATCGTACATAGAATATGTTGTTGTTAGGTCCTGCTGAGCTGGTTCTAACTCATAGTGACCCAATACACAACAGAGCAAAGCACCATGTGTTCCTGCAGCAGTCTAACATTTGCTGCTATGCTTGAACCCATTGCTGCCACTGTGCCAATCTAACCCATTTGTGGTCTCCCTCTTTTTAACTCACCCTTCATGTTACCAAGTATGATATACTTCTCCAAGGGCTGATCCCTCATGATAATATGTCTGAAGTATGAGAGACCAAGTCCGGCCATCTTGACTTCTAAGGAGCATTCTGGTTGTACTTCTTCCAACATAGATTTGTTTGTTCTTCTAACATTCTATGGTACCTTTAATATTCTTCTCCAGCACCGTAACTCAAATGAATCAATTCTTCTACAGTCTTCCTTATTCATTGACAATTCCAATCTTTTCTGCATTATGATAAATGGAGAAAAGATTAAAGTTGGCAAAGACTTCATTTTGCTCAGATCCATCATCAACACTCATGGAAACAGCCGTCAAGAAATCAAACAATATATTGCATTAGGCAACTCTGATGCCCAAGACCTCTTTAAGGGTTCAAGAGTAAATATGTCAGTTTGAGGACTAAGCTGCATCTGACCTAAACCATGATGTTTTCCATAGCCTCATATGCATGTGAAAATTAAATATATATGCTATCAAATTGCTTTGAAAAAAATTAAATATGGCATGGAGTTTGGAGATGACTTGCTAAATAAGGCAGCTGGTAAAAGTGAAATCTGAATGAAGACTGAAGGAAGTGTGGGAGGGAGCCATGAGGGGATCTGAGGAACAGCATTCCAAGCAGTGGGAACAGAAGTGCAAAGTGATTACAATGACAGATCCTCTCATTAGCACCTCCCTGTTCTGGAGACTTTCTATACATGAAGGCAGAGAATTCTCTCAACACCTCTGAAGTAGCATAAGGATAATAATCAACATGAGTCAAGCCCTCGCTTTTTACTTCTCTGTTTAGTTCTGATACCAGCTGTCCCTACATGGCTTCCTCTTCTGACCCGGACCACCTGGAGGGAGGTCAGAGTCCACAAGCTAAAAGTCACGGTCCTCCAGACTTCTAGGTAGACTCAAGATTTCAGACACCAGCCACAAACTTGGGTGTCCTCATAATGCCCATATTTCTGACCTGCTGCTTCACACTACTCCCTTGGATTAGAGAATTTGCTGGAATGACTCACAGAACTCATGGAAAAAGGCCATAGATTTTAGTTTTCTTGTAGGAAAAAAAGATGCCAACGCAGCACAGCAAGCTCTAGGAGCGTTCCCAATGCGGAGCTTCCATGCCCTAACAATGAATGTGCTAACCTCGGGCATGAATGTCTTTCTCCAACCAGGAAGCCCAGGGAGCTATGCAGTGCTTTTATTGGGAATCACATCATCCCTGAGGTCAGTTGATATCACAAGGTGATCATGAAGTATTGCCAAATGGGTATTTCTGGCCTGGCTAACCCTCACCCCAGAATTCACCTCATTGCTTCATCTAATCTGTTAATTAAGTTAGTCTGGAGCCCTTTTCAAAGACACTTAAATTCCAAGAGTTTTCTTTTTTCTTTAATGGATTGAATCTCAGTAACTGAGAACAAAGACCAAGTTCTTGGGGTATAAAGTTAATGTAACCCCACCATTTCGTTGGTTATTAGGAGCCATTGAATCAGTTCTGATTCATAGCGACTCTATGGACAACAGAACAAAACACTGCCCCACCCTGCACCAATCTCACAATCGCTGTCATGTTTGCGTTCATTATTGCAGCCACTGTGTCGATCCATGGCTTTGAGGGTCTTTCTCCTTTTTGCTAGCCCTCTGCCTTACCAAGCATGACTGATCCCTCCTGCTAACATATCCAAAACACTAGAGACAAAGCTTTGCCATCCTCACTTCTAAAGAGCTTTCTGGCTATACTTCTTCCAAGACAGATTTGTTCACTTTTCTAGCAGTCCATAGTACATTTCATATTCGTCTCCAACACCATAATTCAAAGGTATCCATTCTTCTTATGTCTAGCTTTCACATGTATATGAGATGATTGAAAATACGCTGGCTTGAGGCAGGCACACTTTAGTCTTACAAGTGACATCTTTGCTTTTTAACACATTGTCGTAGATTTGCTCAGTACAATACATTTCTTTTGATTTCTTGAGTGTAGCTTGGGAGTTGATTGTGAATCTAAGTAAAATGAAATCCTTGACAGCCTTAATCTTTTCTCCATTTATCATGATACTATTTATTGGTCCAGTTGTGAAGATTTGGTTTTGTTTATGCTGTGGTGTCATCTATACATCAGCAGTAAGTGCTTCAAGTCCTTTTCACTTTCAGCAAACAAGGTTGCGTCATCTGTATATTGCAGGTTGTTAATGACACTTCCTCCAATCCTGATGCCACATTCATCTTTAATATAGCCCAGCTTCTCAAATGATTTACTCAGCGTACAGATTGAATATGTATGGTGAAAAGATACAACCCTGACACACATTTTTCCTGATTTTAAGCTGATATCCCCCATGCTCTGTTTAAACAACTGTGTCTTAGGTGTCTTGATTCCTCCTACATTGGCCTGGAGGAAGCTGGTGTTCAGAGAGATAAGAGACATGCTTACACAGCAAGTAAGTGCTGAGGGCAGAGTTTGGACTTAGCTTTGTTTGAATTCCAGGCTTTTGCCATTGAACCTCTTGCCTTTTGCAAATGTTGAATTTCTTGAGGAAACTCACCTGAGTTCTCTGTCTCTTGACTCACCCATACCCCAAGGAGTACTTTGTGAGGGCCTGAAGACTACCATTGCCTTGCCCACCAAAACCCTGTTCCCCGCTTTCCTCCCTTATGGAAAGCAATTGACCATAGATGTTTGGATTTATTTGTGGGTTTTCAATTCTATTCCATTGCTTTATGGTTTATGTGTCCTATCATTAAACCAGTACCACCAGGCTGTTTTTTTTTTTTT